TTGTAAAGCATTAGTGCCATAACCGGTCTTCTTCAACGAACATCAGATTTTTCTGCCACTTTTTAACGCCTTCCAGTAGGCTTTCTGATATCTGGATTTGACATATACAAAATTTATGCTTTTCTTTTCAGTTTTCAGGTTTTTTTACATGCTTGTGGCATTAAATTTTTCATAGTAATGGTATCTTCAGCATTCGCTGTTTTCTAGATTTGGCGCTGATTAAAAAGCAAAAGCTAGTATTGAGATTAAAAAATTAAAAACGCCTAAAATATTAGTTCTTCTGAAGATTGACTATTGTCAAATTTATTCAACAAGAAACTCGCTCCCCTTTTCAAAAAATAAAAAAAGAAACAGTTGTTATTACGACCATACTGGATATTACAGTAGTAGTATTTATGCGCAGCAAATGAAAGCCCGAATACATATTTTTGTTTTTCACCCCAATTGCAGTTTTCAGGTATACCAACTTAGTGTTCCATTTCATTTTTCGAATAGAATTTTACTTTCTAATTTTATCTATTTTTTCAAGCCTGTTTCCGCAGGCTTTTATGGATTGCGATTTGTAGAAATTTTGCTAAGACAAATTTTTTACTACAGCTTTTGAATAACTAAAGAGCAGGTTATTGTTCTAATTCCTTCTCCAACAACACAATTCCTTCAACTTTATGGTTTCTCGAACACATTACTTTGCGATCCTTTGTTTTTACTTGTGGTAGATATAAGCGGGTTTGCTTTTGCTGAATCAGTAATGTCGTTTCTCGCAAAGTGCGTTTTACTGCAACATGCTAAAATCTATCTGAAAAGGCAAAGCTTTTTCAAAGCATTCATTTTTTCGCTGTTGCAGACTAACCCCCCCGGACTGTTTGTGAATGTTAAAGTGATGATATCGTTCCATGAAGAATTTATCACCAAGGTTGACAGGGTAAGTGTTTTGTGATTATATATTTTTTAAAGGGTGTCGTATGTTTTTGAAGAAGGTAACAGTCAGTTTTTTAGCAACCCTGATTGTTTTACAGGTACTTTGAAATTTTGCTCTTCAAAACTATATGCAGTCGCGGTTGCATGAAAAAGTTTTCTTGACTTGTTTTATAGTTCGATGTGACAGGTTTTCGCCGGTACATTCGTTTTATCAGCAGTTTTCACTAAATTTAAATTTAAGGCATCAAGTTCCTCACTGCGTTTAAAATCGCACTTCGTAACAGATTGAACCGGAAGCTTTTTATTTTTTGACTTTTTACACGAGCTATTTTCGTGGATTTGACAGAAGTTTACGGAAACTGTAAGAGGATATAGTCTTTTCAATTAATTAGTCATTTCTGGAAGTAAGACTTCTTTGAAATTTTTAAAGCGAAATTTGCATGATATATTTTCTTTTATCTTAAGGAACAGTTGAAGAGCTGAGTTAGATTCAAATTGTAAACCAGCTTTTCTGGATGTTTGGTTCCGAAACAGCTTTTTGATAATTTAGAGATGTGAAAAAAATCAGTTTTGGACAACTTCAGATGAAGAGATAATTTTTTAGATTATGAATTTGCGGAATATTTTTGAAATGCATTTAAGACCGGTTTCAAGAAGAAGTAAGGAAATAATAAAAAAACTTGAATATTTTAATAATTCTTTTTTATTTTATCTGTCTTCGCATTTTTCAAACTTCCTAATTCAACGCAAATAAAGAAGTAGCATTAGTCCAAGCGCGAGGTTTGCGCTACACAGAGTCGACTTTATTTCTTGGATTATGAAAGCGTGAAATATCATACCCTGAGCTTTGGAACACCCACAGAAACGTTGCTGTTGTTAAGTTAAACATCTATTTCTTTCAACAACTGAAAGCATACTTTTGGAAATTGAAGCCACTCTTTCTTGTTGGCAGCACAGTTGATACTGACTACGGTTAGGGAGCAGTAACACTTTCACGATTAGGTTAATTATTAGAAAATTTTTCTCTACTTTCAAGACAAAAGCCTTATACTAAATCGTCCCATTCATTTTCATAATTGTTTTTCGAGCAAATGATGGATGAATTAGTTTTTGTTGAAATAAATATAGGCTAAAGATAATATTTGAATTTTATCAGAGCTTTCGTCTAAACTTTAAAGATTGATTATCACTATCCAATTTACAATTAAAGAAGGACGGCAGGTCGAACATAAAGACTAAATGGGATCATAGGGAGGTGGCAATACACGTCGTTTACCATTCTTCACTATCACATTGGTTTCTTAGATATATCATCGCTTAAATGTTGTTTATTGTAGCATTATCTTGGGTTGTAATTTTTTTACCAACTTTTTCAATTAGGACTGCTTTTTATTGCTTTTTTGCTGTTGTTAGCTCAAGTTTATTTTTTTTTTGGTAATGTAAAAATTTTTGCTTTGTTGAAGGGGTACGAAATCAGCTGCTTTTACATGGAGGCTGATAAAACGGTGACATATCCATTAACGGTTTCTATGCAGCCGCTTGAACCGTTCACTGAGCTTGCTGAAATGCCAAGATGCCGGTACGAAGTGGTTGATCCAGTTACGATGCAACCGCTTACTGTTGTGTCGGTTGGCAATAAATTATTACATAAATGGATCTGCGACTCAACTGCTCCAAGTAGTTTTTTGTTCCTAGCTTTGTTGAAAGTTTTTTCTTTTTGATGCAGTCTGTTTACTTCCCTTTTAGCAAGCAAATCTACTTTTAAAATTTCTGTAATTGCTTGACAGCGTTTTTAATCATCACACTGGTCCATTAGACATGTTATTTTTTTAAATAAGTCAAGAAGTAAGAAACAGGTAATTAATGCTAAATGAAAATTAGGCCTCATTTTAATTTTGTTAAAACGTCGGAAATTTTGTATTTTTCTATTACAAGTTATTCAAGCATTGTGAGTAGTGTAATGAAAGCAGATTTTTGATAATTGTTGATTATGATGAAATGTTAGTCTTTGAGGTCAGTTGAATATTTTTTTTGAATTGTAGGCTTGTGGTGTATGACAGTACATTCATGTTTCGTTGAAGATGGTTCGGGAACTCAGTTTGTCATTCTTGACGATAATGGGTATTTTTATTTTTTTATTTTTTAATACTGGTCTGCTTTTGCGTTATACTTCGGTTTATTCAACCTACTTGAGGTTATACAGGCATTTTGGATTGGTAAATCTTAAAAACCAGTTTGAACCTCTTACTTCAAGCTTGCTTTGCAGAGAGCAGCATTTTGACATTTTTGTGTGAATTTTGAAAAAAGAAGATTGTTTTTAAGTCAATCACTGTGTGTTCTTAATAGGATAGCAAACTGTTATCTTTTTATTAAAGTGTTTTTGTGTAAAGAGGATAAGCATTATTAGCGCAGATATTAAGTTTGAGGAATCATTTAATACAGTTCAAATGCCACGTGATTTCTCCACTAATGGTTTGAAGGTTAACTTTGTTTATTTTACCGAGACAGTGAATGTTAATTAAATTCTAATCGCTTTGAAGGTGTGCAGTAGATCGATACTTACTGGATAACTTGGAATACGGACCTGGGGATCTACAAGCACAAAAAGAGGCTCATGCATTTAAATTCGCTGATAAAGTGGTTGTTAACTTTCAGTGTTCTGTCAAACTGGACATACGAGACGGAGAGTGTCCTGTTAGTTTCTAAAAGAACTTTCATTTTTGTTCAATGTTCGAAGGTTATTGTGTTGAAATATGTCTAGAAAATGGAAGTAATTCACTCATTTTTTTAAAGTAATTGTCGAGTGAGTTCCGGGATGCCGATAGCTTAAAAACTCATTTTGTTGGTAGCATTAGGGACTTGAAGTTTAATCATTCACTATTACGCAAAGAAATGATAGTGTGGTTATCTCTCAAAAACAAGTATCTCTCGGTTTTTTACGTGGTATTACAAGACCCATAATGCTTTCCGTATTTTTCATTTGCTGTTTTCAGCATGTAGTTTTTTACAAGGGATAAATTCACAACTTTTTTTTATTAAGGGCCTTTCGATTCTTCATGAAAAGTTTACACTACAGTTAAACCCAGAATTCTCCAGTATTTTTTTCAACCATTTGGAAAATCACGCTGTTTTTGGCTGGTAATTTCAAAGAAGAATAATTCTGGCAAAGTCTGTAGTTAAAAGTGAAACCATCATGATCTGTATAATACTGCCGAATATAAATGACCTGGCATTTCACCTGTCTGTGAAACATTTGATTATTGTGGGATTTTCAGGAGCTTGGTTGATTTTTCTTGTGAAAAAAATTTTTTTTGGATTTTTTTATTGGTAGTATTCTTTTCCATGTTACAAATGAGCAAGGCTGTCTAGCTTAATGGCTACTTTTAAATGAGAGAGAAGGGGTTGATTTTTATTTACGGATCTTACAAAGAAAAAAATGCTACCGGTGAAAAGAGTATGAAGTAGAGGTAACTTGTTAGGAACATATCTTTTTATGGAGAAAGCGGTTTCTGGAATGCACGGGAAAAGTCGCATAAATTAATCAGGAAATTAGACTTGCAAGAAAAAACATAAATATTGTTGGTGGGCTAGTGGTTTATAACACTCAAGGTGACAGTTTTCGGTTATTCATTATATTTTGTATTTCAGGTAGATTGTGAAGCAAAAATGTCTTGTGTTCTTTGACAAACTTAAGCTGAAAGATCACTTTCGTTCTATACTCAATTTTGATAGATAAGAGTGAACAGAAATAAAATTCCTTA